CCCCAAAACCCCAAAACCCCAAAACCCCAAAACCCCAAAACCCCAAAACCCCTTATTATAAATAATAAATTGATATGACCGAAGTAATGAATTGCCAAGAGGAACAATTCCTTGAAATTGAGGCTCTTGAATCTATTTTTGTTGACGAATTCGAGCTAATTAACGAACAACCAGTGACATATGAGATAATAATAAACGCTGATCGTAATGAGGAAGAAGATAATTACATTGTGGTAAAGCTGAAGGTTGAGTATCCTGAAGATTACCCGAATGTAATGCCAAAATTCCAATTTAAAAACCTCTCTCCTGTGCATCTGAACATCGCTGACTTCAACAAGTGCCATACCATGTTTAAAGATATGGCCGAGGAAATGCTTGGCGAGCAGATGATTTTCGAACTGATCGAAAATGTCAGGGAGTTCCTCATCTCCAAAAACGATGTGTTTGTCGAAGCCAAGCTCAAAGAGATTGAAGAGCAGAAGATCAAGGAGGAAAATATGGGCAAGAAGTTCATCGCCGAGAAGAAGCTCGACTACGAACCCGTCAACAAGGACAGCTTCTCCAAATGGCTGGCTACTTTCACTAAAGAGCGTGACGCCTTGAAGGCAGAGGAGATGAAATCCAGGTCTAAAGAGCAGTTAGAAAGAGACTCTAGGAAGTCAGGGAAGGCTTACTTCTTAGAGAAGCAGGTGATTGCAGGCTCAGGCATCAACTTTGAAGACGAAGAGGACATGGACGTACAGGAGTAAGATATTTGTGTGTGATGGTTTAGGGAGATTGAAGAGGAGAAGGATGAAGCAGAGGATGAGGATATGGAGAAGTATTTTGATGATGATGTGTTCGATGACGAGGATATTGATGATGTTGAGTTGGATTAGCTTGAATTTTAATTGGTATGAAATTGAACGAGCTTTGTGCAGAAAGGAGGGCTTTGTAAGAGTTTAAATTTTGAGAGCTTTGGTTGGGGATAGTTCAATTTGATGAATGATGAGTGGGGTTTTGGGGTTTTGGGGTTTTGGGGTTTTGGGGTTTTGGGGTTTT